GTCCCGCAGGGTTTGGCCCACATACCCCCTTGCCAGGGCCACCCCTCACCCCTCCAAGCCTGAGCCGCTCCTCTCACAGGTATTCCACCTGATGTTTTATTCTGCTTTGTCAGTATCGTAAGGACTGGTTTTCCTGTTTGTTCCCCTGCAATTCAAGCTCCCACGGGCTGGGACCCTGTCATGTTCTACTTGGTAACCACAGAAGGTGTTCAGTCATTGTTAAATGGATGGACGGACGCATGCACCCCAGGCATTCTTCCAAAGCGGGCAGGGAGGGCGTTGATACTGCTGCTCTGATTAATTTCACAACATGCACACATCCTAGAAGCATAAGAAAGCATGGAAAATGTCTGTGGGCTGGTGTGTTTGTTTGGATTGGTTTTCTTTTCTGAGGAGGGTAAAAGGAGCGGAGTTAACATCACTAACCACTCACTGAAAGTTGTTTGGAATCCACCATTTCCGAAAACTCCCAGCACAGCAGGATGCGAGGTTCCCAGATGGCAAGTGGGCTGTCGGGTCTTCACGGGCAACGGAAATGGCAAATTGCATTTTGCACAGTCACATACCTTCTCAGCAGATCCCAACTATTATTTCCGCACCAGTCAAGTAATTCAAGGGCGGGAGTGGCGCGTAGATAAATGGTGCCCGGAGCGGGGGAGGGGGTGAGGGGAAGGCTGGGCAGAGAGGGTTCAAACTTGCCCACAGTTTGTTAGTTTCCTTTCATCCCTTCTGAATAAAATCTGCATTCCTTTTCTCCCAGAAGGGCAGCCCTGCTCCCCACCTAACACAGCCCTGAATGTGGTGGATTCCGCGCCCCTGAAGCCGAGGTCCGCAAGGAAGCTGAACGCAGGCCAGTGTTAGCGCAGGAGAGAAAGGGAGATTGTCCCCCTGGCCAAGCTCAAACATTTCATTCTCTTCCTAGGCCTCAAAACCCTAATTTGACCACAAAAACCTGGCCTCTGGTGTTTCTGTTATGAGTATCGGATTCCTCCGGCTGAACTTGGCTGTTCACTGCCTGAACAAATTACATTAACAATACAGAGAAATGTATACAGGGCCTTAAAAACACTGCTGAGCAGGGACCAAAACAAAGGCGGTGGTGTCCTAGCAACCAGCCTCACCCCCCAGCAGCCTCCGGCCCTGCCAGGGATTGTAAGCCATTCAGCTCCTCTCTTCTCTGCAAACAATTAGGGACAGAGAAGTCACAATTACAGATGGGATTTACAGCCAGAGGAGCAATCTATAAATCACGGAGCTCCCACCCCCAGCCATTCCCAGCCAGATAATCAGAGCCAGATGTTCGTCACAGCTGCTTCAGCGCGGGTACACTGCTGTCCAACTCGACCATGCCCCTGCTCTGAGAACCGGCAGAGGCTGCAGCCAGAGAATCCGGCCAAGCCAGAGGGGGCCTCTGCACCCTGGAGCCGGCCCAACTGTAGGAAAAGTTGGGTCGTGTGGGAACCGTTTGGTAAAGCGACCGCAGAGATGCCCGGCACTCTCCTTGGTGAGCACGGTGGCTCCCGGACTTCCCGCGGACTTTGCACAATTTGGTGACAGTGGCCATTAGCAGCAGCGGCAGCATTAACATTCATTATCACTTGTGAAGCACTGAGCATCCAGCGAGGACTTCACAGGTCCTCCCTCACTGCGGAGCACTCCTGAAAGATCAGCCAAGTCACAGAGCAAGAAACTGAGCCCTGGAGAGGGCAACGGTTTTCGAGAAGGTCCCAGGGCCAGTAAGAAGCAGGGCACAACTCAAAGCCGGGTCAGCTTGAAACTGATGCCCAGTCATCTCGTTAAATCGTGGAGCAATGGAGACTCTGATTCAGGATTTGGGTTGGCAGTTTCCAAATTACTCTCTTGACTGTCAGACTTGGAAGAGACTCGCGTTCTTTACTTTATTCCTTTATAGTGGCCGTAGTTTAAAACTTCTGGACTGAACCAAGTCAAATTGTTAGGATCTGGGGCCACGGGACAGCAAACTCCAAGGGTAGGAAAAGCCAGACTATTCAAATATTGCCAAGTGCTTTTCTTCACAGCTCTCCTTTTATGCACATTTTAAATTTTTTGAGATAACGTACACACAATGATGAGCACACATCTTCAATGTACAGACCAATTAATTTTTACATATGTATAAACCCCTGTAACCAACAGTAGATCAAGATATGGAACATTCTAGAACCCATTCTAGAAGTTTCTCATATGTCCCCTCCCAGGCATTACTCCTTTGCCTCTAAAGTAGCCACTATTCTGATCTTCATCGTCAGACATTTTTGCCTCTTTCTGAGCAAATGGAATCATAGAGCGTGTCTCTGGTGTAAAGATGCACCTTTTGAGCAGTCTGGGTTATTCTCAGGGTGAAACCCACACTCCCAAGTAAAAACTACCAACAATGCCAATAACCCATAATGAAAAAGAATATGAAAAAGAACATATATTTATATATGTATAACTGAATCATTATGCTGTACACCAGAAACTCACACAACATTGTAAATCAACTATATTTCAATGAAAAAATCAAAACCAAAACTACCAAGAATGAAAACTTGACATTGCATTACAGTCCTGTCCGCTACACCAGCTTTGCTCTGTAAGGCAATCCCGTGGCATTTGCAATTCCTCTTCCCAGGACCCTGCTCATGGCGCCTAAGATGCCCTGTCCTCAAGGGGCAAACAAGCCCCTGGCCATCTGTCTTCGAGCACTGCCAGTAACTGAATCTGGTAGTAACAAGCTGTGTTTACCCCACTTGTCACCCTCATCCTTCACCCGCTGACAGCCACCATCTTTCACTCCACAGGAAGTGCAGCGGGGCACGGAGGATGTGGCCGGGGCTCTTCATGGGAGGAGCAGGATGACACCGGCTGGAATGTCTGGGCTCCGAGTGCCCTCTGGGTTTGGGCTGTCCCTCACCCTTCTCACCACCCCAGTAGGAGCCCTCCCACCAGCGCATGAAGAGGCTGCCCACTCGCCACACACGCACATGGGCTCCCTGCAGGGTTGGGACTTTCACTCAGAAGTCTAGGCAGGAAAGCCACCAGGCCTGGGGGTGGGCATGGGGTTGCAAGAAGTTGCGGTGGAGATGATGTAAAGAGGCCAGCACAACAGGAAGACGTCCTGAGCAAAGCACCGGGAGGGAGGGGCAGGATTTTCCTTTCTTGGCTTTCTCCGCCGCAGTCTTGACCTCCCCCAGAAGTGCACTGCTGCTCACCTTAACTCCTTGGCGCCGCCCCAACTTCCCTTCCCAGGGTGGTTATTTTTAGCTGCGCTCAGCACCTGTTTGTTTCCATGACTGTTTTAAAATTCTAAATCTGTTGGCACACTGGGACACAGGGCTCTCCAAGGGATCTAATGCTGCCAGCCGGAAGTGGCGGATCCTCAGGAATTCATTCTCTTGTCCAAGCGTTTATGGCTGACACATAAATGCAGTGACGCTCCCTTCCAAATAAAACAGCGGGGCAAGGGACTCCACAGAGGGTATTTTGGGGTATGACTTCTAGATGCAAGAGACGATCGAAGGGGTACGAACAGGGGAAGTGTGGCGTGTTCTTGGTTTGTAGGCCTGTGTCTGCTGATCTGTGATGAGGACCCCTAGGAAATTTCAGAACTTGAAAATTGACACAGATGCAGGCCACTCTCAAGGTCAGCGTTTCCAAGCCCGGTGCAGTCTTCTGTCACTGCCGCTCGGGTCCAAAAAGGAGCCGGGGCCCATCCACACACCCGGCCCTCAAAGCCCTCCCCTGCCCCCGGCACACGGGGAGACTGGAGGCTTCCCATTCAAGGCGTCTCCTGGGCGCTCCAGTCTCAGCAGACACACCCTCCTTCCACCTCGGCCCCTTCTGGGACTCCTCCTGGAGCCAAACATTCTCTGCTGCTGAGAGACAAGTTTTGTCCTGTTCTAGTCCTGGGGGTTTCTAAAGGCCAGTCTGTTTCCTAACCTGGTAACTGACACGGGAGACCCTTCCTGTAAGTCTGTTTGGACCGCACGGTGACCCTGACACCACAGCCTGCTCAGCGGGTGGTGTTCGGATCCAAAGGAGGAATGCCTGTACCCAACCTGTGAGTGAGCACATCCTTCCTCGGGGCTGAAGGTGTGAGGAGCACCTGGGCCCAAAACCTTGTGCAAGTCACACGGGAGCAGGTGAGAAAGCTCTCGGTGGCAGTGGAAGGAAGATTGTATGTGGGTCTGCAGCCACTCAAAGCAGCCTGCACATTCCTGCTTCCAAGCTTTGGCTCTTGCTGTTCCCCGGCCCGGCATCCTCTCCTTCCTCTCCCAGTTCAGACTCAATTCAAAAGACAACTCAAAAAAACATCAAGACCTCAGATTGCAATGAGCCGTCCTTTCTCGGAACCAGGGGTCAAACACGTGAACACTTCTCAGGGCCAGGCGGAGAGTAGTCGTGATAATAAACAGAAACCATGATAATAATCATCCCGTGCGGCAGGCACCGTCACTGCCAGGATGTACAGAGAGGTCAGGTAACCTGCTCAAGGTCATGGCCGATGCTAAGTGGTGGGGCCAGGGTTTGAACCCAGCCCTGCTTGTGGCCCCAACCAAACACAGCTCTGCAGGAGGAGTGGGCGTGGAAACCGGGAGGGAGGGAGGCCGCCAACTGTCACCCCGCAGGAATTTGAGCCCAGCCTTGCTACACCTCTGATTTTTCAAGAGAAGCTTGAAGTTGGGGTTTTTATATGATTTTTTTTTTGCTTGTCTGATGATCAGAACGCTTATTTTTTATTTTATTTATTTTTTTAATGCTGGTTTATTTTAGGTTATGTTTTTCAAGTTTCTCCAATTGTCTAGTTTCCTTCTTTTTTTCATTGAGGTACAGTCGATTTACAATGTTGTGTCAATTTCTGGTGTACTGTGGAGTGATTCAGTCATACACATATATTCCTTTTCATAGTCTTTTTCATTACAGGCTGTTACAAGGTATTGGATACAGTTCCCTGTGCTCTACAGCAGGACCTTGCTGTTTCTCTATTTTACACACAGAAAAACATGGGGTGTTTCACACATTTGCGTGTCATCCTCGCGCAGGGACCACGCTGATCTCTGTATCGTTCGAATTTCAGTATATGTGTTGCCAAAGCGAGCACCGACAATTTCAAGCTTTGCAAAATCTCCGTACCAGCCCCAAGTCATGTCTGAAACGGGACTGGGCCAGTGGGCACAGGCCATGCCTGCCGGGAATAACGCCTCCGACCCCTAAGCCGGCACCGCTCCGTGGGGTCTCTCCTTGCAGGCCTGGAGTCCCGATGTTTGTGGTTGCAGAGAGCCCTCCTTCCCTAAATCACAAGCTAAGCGAGGACAGAGAGCAGGTCTTACAGGCCATCGTGTTTCGTGAAACCCTGCACGGCCTCTCGTCCTTCTGGGGAGAACAGGGGAGAGCCTGACTGTCTAGAAACCCTAATATGTGCCAACACTTGTTCTAGATTCTTCTATATATCGGCTTATGTAATCCTCATTCTTTCTAAACAAAGGAAGACCCTGAAGGGTTAAGAGGCATTGAGTCTCTTACTAAAAGTCTCAGGCGGTGGTGGCAGCCCCATGCCCACTCCCTCCAGCTCCCTCCAGCTCCCTCCAGCTCCCTCCAGCTCCTTCCAGCTCACGGAGCAGTTGTAAATCAAGGTCGATGCGCTCTATCTCTGTGGTTCCAGGCAGGGAAATCAATTCTTACATTAATGAATGAGGGAACTGTTTATGTTCGAAAAGCTCTCAGTAAATAATAAAGCACTTGGCTCCCTGGTCACCTAAGTTCTCAGAGCTCTCAGGGCTACGTCGTCTGCCTCGAGGACTGGACACTGCCCTGGAGACAAAGGCTTGTTCAGTGATGTTGGCTAAATCTCCAGGGGTGGGGGTCCCAGAGTGGAAAAGCAAAGTGTCTCGGGGGACAGGCCCCTCGTGCTGTGTGGCCAAAGGCAGCGCAGGGTGGAGGGGAGCCTTGCGTGGCCCCCTGGGGCCAGTCTCCTTGCTTCTCCACACTCAAGTCTCCCACCTGTCAGATGGGGGCGATGAGCTCGGTGCTGACCGTGCTCACCGCTTCACAGGGCTGTTGTGCGTGTTCAGGGCCCTGTCTGGCCTGTGGCAACCCCTCCAGAGTGGTGGTGTTAAGAGCCCTGTTGATGCATCTCTGTCACCCCCATGGAACGAAGAGGCCCAGCAGACAAGGACAGGGTGTCAGGACCAACCTGGATGAACCCAGCCCTCCACATTGCCACCGGATGCTTCCTTCCATGGCCCAGTGAAAACTCCTCCGGGTGTCTCGGCTGTGGCTCATGGTTTATGGTGGGTTTCCCTGGACCCTCTTGGGCTTCCACGTAGCAATCAGCAAACCATGATTGTCTTCCAATCTACTGTCTTGGCTGCCACACCCATGTAACCCTTCTCTCCCTCCCCAGCTCTCCGCACTTGTCATTTCCTCAAAGGAGAAGGCCCGTCTGTCTTGTCTACCTGGCAGCGACTCCAAGGCACCGCTGGAGATGCCTGCCTAGGGGAGACCCTGTAGGGCTCAGCCTGGGTAGGTCCAAAGCCTCCCCAGCAGGGCAGGCAGCTCCTGGGAGAAGCCAGAAGGGAGATGGGGACACTCAGCGTGTGTGGAGAAGGGGGCAGGCAGGAGGGGGGACCTCCTAGGAGGCAAGGGGAGGGGCAGAGCTGACATCACCATAAGGAAGCAGTAATGGTCACACGGCTGGGAGGGTCCCCCACCAGGTCTGACACAGTGCTAGGATCCAAGAAGTAATGTTGAATCAACACTGATCTGTGAAGATTGTGTCCTGTCTCCACGGGCACAACCCAGGACAGGTCCTTCTAGACTCTCGCCTTCTCCAGGATTTTAGGTATATGGAGACTGAAACGCCTCCTCTCTTACAAGGGACATTCATGTCTCAAATGGAGATCCCTTCAAAGAAGGCAAGTGGGTTTCCCAACCCGTCAACGTTGTTGGTTTTTCCTGTCTGGAGCCCCCACCCAGGTCTGCTAAGTAGCCTCCGCAGGACTGGACCTATTGGACACATTTGGGGGAAGAAATCATCCATAATTCGGAAATGCAACAGCTGCAGCAGTAGGTTTCTGTGCAAAGGCGTTGCTTCCATTACCTACTCCCTGTGTCGGCCCTGGAGACAGCCTTTCCATCTCGAGGCCGCACCTTCTGCCCCTTGGGATGACCCAGGAATCTGCATTTCAACAAGCAGCTGGGATGATTCTGAAGCAGGGTTCCCTGGACCACACTTCGAGAATCACTGTCCTGACGGTTCTGCAGCTTTGAAGCCCCTGAGCATCTTCCCTGGAGCTCCCCGCTCCCTCCTCTGACCCAAGAGGCCCACCCGGACATTCAGAGCTGAAGCAGCTCCCTTTGGGAGCACAGGCAGTGGGCAGACGGCAGGAGAAGAAGCAGGCTGGCCAGCAACTCCTGGCGCTGCAGCCCCCACCCCCAACCACGGAGGATGCACGGAGCTAAGTCTCCTCGTCTCATTCATGTGCCCAGAGAGAACAGCGCCATTGGCTTCTCAGAGCCTCACGCAAAAAAAGGAGAAGCTATACTTGTGGGCCCTACACTGGGGTCCCCAGTCGCCCTCCTGCTTTGGGCTGTTGCCTGGGGACTGACTTCCTTATTCACGCCCCAGGTCTCTCCTGGGTGGCCTGGATGCACACATCACCTGTCCCGCTTGGCAAAAGCTCTCCTAACCAGACCACCTGTTTACCTGTTCACCCAGTGGTACATTTTAGATTCAGAGAACTATCTGCCCCTGTTTTTCAATGACTACTGTAAAATCCGTAAAATACACGGAGGAAAAAGAAATCAATGACATTACACATGGGGCCGAACCTGCAGGCCCAGATTACTTGGACAGAGTCGCCTTCTTACTGATTTCGTGTTGATTCCCAAGGGGAAGAAGAAAAAAGTTCAACTTTCTTTTAATAATGAGTCACTTCCTCAAGATAATAAAAAATGAACTGAAGATAGCAAAAATGTGGCCCATAAACATCTTTTTTTTTTTCTTCCTGGAATTGTCCCTTCCACAAAAAAGGGAGATCCTACCATTCCAAAGGCTCTCCGTCCACTGGACTCTGTGTGCGCTCCTCCCTCGGTATCCACAGAGGATTGGTTTTAGAACCAAAATCCATGGATGCTCAAGTCCCTCACATGAAACGGCGTATTCGCACACTCTGATTCATCTCTAGACGACTTGTAATAGCTAATACAACGTCAGTGTTATTATATAGTATATATAGTATATAGCACAAATATATAATATATATATATTTAGCACAAATAATAGCACAAATAGTTGTCACTGTGCGGTGAATTCAAGTTTTGCTTTTTGGAGCTCTCTGGAATTCTTTCTCCCCCCCCCCCCCGAATATTTTCGACCCGCAGTTGGTCAAATCCCCTGCTCGGAACCTGCGGATGAGGAAGGCCAACTATATTCGGCTCCAGACACGTGGAAAACTAAAGCTGCGTGTGTGACAAGACAAACACATACCTAGAAGCCACCTGGAGAACACGGAATGGTAAGAATTTAGCTCTTCAACGAGGAATTCGATATGGCTCGCCCCTCACCTCCTCCAAGTCTCTGTTCAAGCGTCGCCTCTGTGAGGCCTGTCCTGACGCCACCGTTCAACAGCATCGCCGTCTTTCCTCTCCACGCGTCTTGCTCTGCTTTATTTTCCTCATCAACACCTGACACACAGTGTCACTGTGCTCACTGTCTCCGCCCCCCCCAGCCAGAAGAACTTGAGAGCTAACCTCTTCCACATTGCTATATGCCCAGTCCCTCGAAAGTGCCTGCCAGGTCAATGGACCCAGTGAAGGACCCCATCATCTGCCCATCAGTCCATCCACCACCCTCCCCAAACATCCACCCACATGATCTAGACGCCACGATGGATGTTATGTAACGGGAGAGAGACAGACACAAAACAGACGTGGGTTTTTGCTTCTGGAGGGACAGACCCCAGGCAGATGTGTGCACACAAAATACAAAGCTCTGTTTGAGATAAGCGCCTGAAAAGGACAGGCGAGGGGCTATGAGAACGCAAAGCACAGGACCGATTTCAGGTTAGGGGATCAGGGAGGTTCCCCAAAGAAGGTGGCACGTAAGCTGAGACCTGGAGGCCGAGGGGGGTGCCCAGGTGCAGAGTGGAGTGAAAGGGACGCAGTCAGGACGGTCCAGGATGGGAGGAGCTTGGTGGACGTGAGTGAGGAAGACACGGGCATGAAGGACAAGAAGGCGTCCACCCACATCAGGCAGACAGACGGGCGGTGACCTGGAATTCAATCAGTGCCAGTCAAGCATCGACTCTGCTTACAGGATTTATAGAAGCAGGGAATAGACAACGCGAAGTGTCTGTTCTCACACCAATCATAAAAGAGGACTAAAATTCATTATCAAAATATGGGCTGAAACCCCCCATTTGTTTCTGCCTCAGCGAAGGTACTTCTTAAATGTCTGAGAAAACCTTGGAATGAGGAGTCAATGTGGCTAAAACATTTTTCGGTCAAAGAATCCACCCCCCTCCCACCTTTCCCCTCCTTGTTCAGAATGACGTTTCTGGCTGGAGAGTGGAGTCAACATTCAGGTTTAGGGAACCGAATTCAATGTGCGTAGTCTTAAAGACAAATCCTTACTTAGAAGGCTGGGTTTTCTTTTTCACTAGAGCAAAATATTTCTTATTTTTTGTTTCCTGGGGTTAATTTTCTCCTCCTAAAATTACAACACATGCAACAATTTAATTTGCATAAAATGAAAGAGGATCTCCTTCTTGAACTATTAGCTCCCTCTAGGGAGGCATTAACTCTGGATTCCCGGCACCACGATTAGTGCCTGGCCCAGGAAAGAGCCTGAAAACAAGTTTAATGAGATGAAGGAACCTCAGTTTAAAGACTTCGCCTGGTCTGGTTTAGCACAAATCCTGCTCTCAGTCCGGTGCCTGCCTCAAGCTAGCTGTGGGATTACAAGCTCTGGAACTGATTTTCCAGAACATTACATGAAATGATGCCTTCTGAAGAGCACCCATTCTGAAGCCCGGGACTTGGCAGTCAATCAATAAGTGGCGGGGATCCCTGTTTGGTCCCCAAAATGCAAATAGAACCATG